CCCTCCTCCTTCGGCGGGGTTTATGTGCCCGGTCGGAGAGGCGGTGAGCACCTAAGTGCTGTGTTGGTGCTGTTTGCTTTCCCATATGGTGCAGCCAACTGCGCTGTTTGCTTTTCACCCACTGCTGATGAAGGAGTGGTAGCAGATTTGGGCAGGTTTCCTTCTGGTAGAGGAAAGAAGCAAAGCGTCTGTGTCGGCAGTAGCGTAAAAGAATATGGCCAGCCAAAAGGATGGCAAAAGCATTTTAATTATATAGATGAGAAGGCTGCGTGTTAGAGTGCTTCTGTAGAATTTAGGTCTGAGCAATTATCTTACCTCGCTTGCTGAGTAAATGCTTGCAGTGTTCATAATTATACACGTGGGCTCGGACCTGAAACAAAACACCATCAGAAATGGATCAAAGGATAGTATGAAACTGTCAGTTGTAAATTAGTAAGTTAGTTTAAAAGTGTGACATGAATCTCAAGTCGAGAGGATAGTCACTTCACTTTAGATAGGGTCTTTTCTTTTCCTTTTTTATTCTGGAGACTCTCAATTCTTGTGGCTTCATCATTCATGTCTGACAGGTTTTTCTTGTAGTAGTTAAAGCCAGAGTCAGGGAATCAGTACTTTGGAATTTTTTGAGTTTTTTTTTTTTTTTTCCTCGTCTCTGTCGTTTATTTGAGTCTTCTTGAAGAATTTTAGGTGCGATAACCTCATTTCTCTTGCACCTTCCTCTGTAAACTAAGGGTGATTCTAACTTCCCCTATGGAACATCAGGAGGTAGCTCTTACTGTCTATATCAACTTGGAGAATTTTCATTGAAAGGAGGTATAGCAGTCATTCACCTTTTTATTCTGACGGTACTGAAGCTAGAAGACGCTGCTGCTGATATGGAGCTATAGTGTGTTTGTTCAGCTGTCTCTCCATCTGTTTTTTTTAGGCTCTCCTACCTATGGCAAACGTGGCCATGATCGACTATACCTTGGAGTTCCTAACGGCAACCGGAGTCGAAGAAACTTTTGTTTTCTGCTGTTGGAAGTCAGCTGAGATAAAAGAGCACTTACAGTAAGGATTTCTTCTGCTTTCTTTTTAGCCTTATCATGGAAAGGAATCTGCCATTATCCAGTAAGCCTCCCAGGTCTTAGATTGCACTGATCCTTCTACTGATGAAAACTGTGCTGCTAGGGATTCCCTTTCAGTAGATGTCTCCCAGCACATCTCAAAAAAGAATATTCCTCATGTGAAGAAGTGGGGTCGTGCAGTATTTTAAAAGGGTTGTTTGGGGGACTACCTTTTTTTACTGGCGTTATTGGCTCTTTGCCTAAAAGCAGCGCTTTCCTGCTTAGCACTGTAATTTATAATACTGCACTTTACTAGCCTTCTGCCGTGTCTCAGTGATCGGTGCAGCATATTGAAACAGTTCTCATTGAAAGTACCTTTTACCTCTGCATGCTGCAGGTTTGCCTGCTCAGGGGAAGCATGCAGTCTTTTCTCTTCCCTGCTTGAGGTACTGCTTTCAGAGAAAAAATTCCTGAATTGGGTGTAATCTCTCCTTCTCCTCTGTCAAAACTGCTCACAGATAGTCTAGTTTCCTAAGTTTCCCTAAGCCATAGTTTCAAGGTGTTATCATCTTCAGTTCTTTCTGCTCTGTGCAAATGATCAGATCTCTGCCCACTGATAATGTACTCCTTGTAATAGGATTCTTCCTGCATGCACTTATGGATGTGGTATGCACTGGGGTGCTGTGTTCTAGTGTAAAGTATCCACGGTACAAGTATCCCTTTTAAGCCTTCCTGATGTGGTTTTCTGCCTTCAGAAAGTCCAAGTGGTGCCGCCACACATCTCCCAACATGGTGCGCTTTGTAACTTCTGATCTGTACCGCTCCCTTGGTGACGTGCTACGAGACGTTGATGCCAAGTCTCTTGTCCGTTCTGATTTCATCCTTGTCACTGGGGACGTGGTGTCCAACTTCAATATATCCAGAGCCCTGGAAGAGCACAAGTAGGTGTTGAAGGAAGCGCGTGCCTGGCTGGTGTGCCGAGACTCTGGGCTGTAACTGTCTGGAGAGTGACTTAAAATTCTGCCCTTCCTGTTCAGGTTGCGTCGTAAGATGGAAAAGAATGTTTCTGTGATGACGATGATTTTCAAAGAGTCCTCACCTGGTCACCATGCCAGGTGCAACGAGGATGACATCATTGTTGCTATGGACAGTGCCACAAACCGTGTCCTTCACTATCAGAGAACCCAGGGGCTGAAACGCTTCCGCTTTCCTATGGTGCGTCTGGCAGGTGGAAAAGGGCTGTGAAGCAGCACCTCGAGGGAGTCCTCTTAGAGTGAGGACTGGGGAGTGTGCTTATTCCCTCTTTTGGAGCAGCAGGTGATGGGGAGTGACCCTTGGTAAACTTGATTCTGTCTAAGAGAGTTTAAGGCTTGGTGAAACTGTCCTGGAACATGCATGTTCGGGACTCATTTTGGAATTTGAAGAAAGAGTAGACATGCTTTTCCAAAAATTCAGTTTTCTGCATTTATTCAATTGATTCTCTGCATATAAAACAAGGGAGATAGATGTACTATCATGGAGATTCCCAAATTGGGGTGCATGTGCCGTTATCATACACAACCATTTTGTAGTGGTACCAAGTCTGGCACAACAGGGAGTGGAATAACAGAGGGCATACGGGGCAGTACCTCCTATCACCTCTGCCTGTGCTGCTCCCCAAAAAAAGTTATGGACTCTACTTAATATGCAGCCAGTGAGATGTCCATGAAGGCACTTTTTTCATTAAGATGAATGGTCTTTTTTTCTTTTTTTTCTTCCCTCAACTCAGAACCGAGACTATGAATGAGTATATCATTTTCATCCCCAAATCAGTAATCCCTAGATTATTTTTTTTCTTCAAATGAAAGTCCTTTTTGGCTTCAGACAGTTATATTAAAAAAAAAAAAAAAGTAGAGGGAGGGGAAAAATAGCCACAAAAATCCATAGAGGGGATGGAAGCTATGAATGCTGTATTTTTATTTATTAATGTTCTTTGTATATTTGTAGCTCCCAGCAACTAAGTAAGGAGCCTTGTGGAGGAAAAGTGGCCGTTTGAAGTATGAGCTCTTTCTTGGAGAGCTGCACTGTGTAAAAGGGTGTGGGGGAGGGAAGGCCTCTGCTGATTGACACAACTGTGTGACCAGACTGTGCCTGCTAAGAGACTGTGCCTCAATGTAGGTCATAGACTTCTCTGATCTCCAGAACTGCAGCTAGTTTAATAATTCAATCAATTTCAATCAATTTCAATCAATAGGATTCCCCAGGCTCATAAAGTCTTTTGGGATTCAGTACTGCATGAGGCGCTCAGCTTTTCTGAATTTTCTCCTCTTTCAGAGTCTGTTCCAGAACTCGATTGAAAACGTCGAAGTGCGCCATGATTTGCTGGACTGTCATATCAGCATCTGCTCTCCACAGGTGAGCCCTGCCTTCCTGAGGGCCTGGAGTTCAATCTGTTTTGCTCCCTCAGTGCTGCTGGTGTGCAGGGGCAGCATGCACTCCTGGTGTACAGAGCGTGGAAACCAGAGCTGCTGGTTGTGCTCCATGACTGATCTGAGAGCCTGAGTGATCATGTGGCACTGCTCCGTGGACCGTGTGAGCTCAGTCAGTATCTGGTATCCTCCACCCACACAATCATGGAATAGTTGAGGTTGGAAGGGAACTCTGGAGGTCATCTGGTCCAACCCTCCTGCTCAAGCAGGGTCACCTAGAGCAGGTGGCCTAGGACCGTGTCCAGATGGGTTTTGAATATCTCTAAGGACGGAGACTCCACAACCTCTTTGGGCAAGCTGTGCCAGTGTGTTCAACCACCCTCACAGTGAAGAAGTGTTTTATTCTGTTCAGACAGAATTTCTTCTGTTTTAGTTTGTGCCCATTGTCTCTCATTCTGTCGCTAGGCACCACTAACAGGAGTTTGGCTCCATCTTCTTTACACCCTCCTGTCAGATAGTTACAGCATTGATAAGATTCCCCGCAAGCCTTCTCTTCTCCAGACTAGACAGTTCCAGCTCTCTTTGTCTTCATACAATAGATGCTCCAGTCGCTTCAGCATTTTTTTGTGGCCCTCCGCTGGACTCGCTCTGATATGTCCATGTCTTTCTTGTCTTGGGGGGCTGAGAACTGGATCCAGTGCTACAGATTTGTCTCACCAGTGCTGAGTAGAGAGGAGGGATCACCTCCTTCTGCCTAATGCAGCCCATTCTTTGCCATGAGGGTGCATTTCTGGCTCATGTTCAAATTGGTGTCCTCTGGGACCCCCAGGTCCTTCTCTGCAAAGCTTATCGCTCGGCCCCTTGGTGACAGGCAGAACTAGACAGTGTATGCATCAGTAGATTGAATGGCCAATTTGGCACAGGATGAAACTATACTGGAAAACAGGCGACCTCATTTGAGTATGGTAAAGTACGTGGAGCAGAGGCGATGGCTATGCTATGGAAAGCCTCAGTACTTGCAAGCTAGTACTGCGTTAAGATAACTTTCATGGTTATTCCAGCCTGGGCTTGCTAACGCTTCTTCTGCATTCGAAAAAGAGATGGTCTACAGGCTTCCTTTGACTACGAAGCTAGGCTGGGTTGACTGCTTAGAAATGTTAAAACAATGTTTTGCCCCTTCTGAAAACCAGAACCTGTTCATAGCCTACTGTAGGAGGAAGAGATGAGAAAGTCAACACTCCTAGCAGAAGGAATCAAAGCTTTACTCAAGGCAAGAGCATCACTTTCCTATATCGTATAACTCGGCTCTCTGAGAACCAATGAACAGCCATTAATTATCTGGCTTCCTCAGCAACGTTTTCTGCTGATTATATTATTTCCTTGCATTTTATTCCTGGCAGGTGGCTGAGTTGTTTACGGACAATTTTGATTACCAGACACGGGATGACTTTGTGCGTGGTCTGCTGGTGAATGAGGAGGTAAGAAGAGGGGGATGGTACCAGGAAGATCACTTCATCTAGTATTGAGGAGTCCTCTGACATATTCCTGTCCGTTTCCCAGGTCCTGGGGAACCAGATCCATATGCATGTAACAACAGAAGAGTATGGTGCCCATATATGCAACCTGCTTATGTACAAAGCTGTGTGCTCTGATATCATCCGGCGCTGGGTCTATCCCTTGACTCCAGAAATGAACTTCACTGATGACAAGAATCAGAGTTATACCCATTCTAAACACAACATCTACCGGGGGGTGGATGTTAGCCTCGGCCACGGCAGCATACTGGAAGAGAACATCCTCATTGGGCAGGGGACGGTCATCGGCAGCAACTGCTTCATAATTAATAGTGTCATTGGGCAGAACTGTAGGATAGGTGAGTACCAGAATGGGGGAACGTGCCGAGGCAAGGCACAAGTTATTGGGCTCTTGTTTTTAAAGTGCATTTGGCTCTGAAGGAGGATGCTAGGTGGGTGTTACTTGGCGACATCTAATGGGAAGAAAGGAGAAAGGCTTTGTTTTCCAGTGGAGGAAATAGATTAAAGTTCCAGGGTACCATAATGATGTTGAAAGGCAGAAGGCGCTTCACGCAAAGAAAGGAGATGTTTCATCGTTACAGTGTGCACGTCCCTTGCCAATCTAGAATTACCATCCACCAACATCCTGCAAGTGAGGAACCTCTATGCTTGTTTTTGTGAGCTGCCTGGTACCTCTTCTTCTTATCTTGGCTGGAATCTCTTTTGTGATTTAACCATGTCTATGCAAAATCAGGATGTCAGTTGTTACTATCAACTAGCTGAATCTCTGTAGAGAACAAACTCCTCTTCTAGCTTGGGGTAGGAAATGGTCATAGGCTGATAAGGCTAATGTTTTTTTAAACATCTAACGTCCATCACACATCAAGGGCATTGTTTCATCCTGAATTCAGTGAATAAGATGCTTTCTAGTGGACTCAGTGGTGTGGGAGAGCAGCAACCTGCCTTGCTCAATATGTTTATGCTTGGTGGTGTATAACAGGTGACAGAGTCATTTTGGATGGAGCCTTTCTCTGGGACAGAGTTCACGTAGCAGATAACGTGGAGATCTGCCATTCTGTTATCTGTGATGAAGCTGAAGTGAAGGAAAAAGTAAAGCTAAAGCCTCGCTGTGTTCTCTCTTCTCAGGTGAGCTGTGTGTGTTTGCTCTGCTTTCTGCCTTCTCTAGGCAGGTTACTAGACTTAAGCATTGGAACGTACCCGAACAGAGGGCTGTTCCAGGCCTTTTCTTCAGGGTGGGGGCTATGCTATTGCTCCCATCTTTTTCCTCCTTCAGGCCCTTTGGCTAGGGTACTATGGCACATGGTCTAGCAGTGCTGATGTTTTCTGTTATGCTTGTTAGACCCTCCCTTGGAACAGCTTGTCCAAAGCAGCTATTGCCCCTGCTGGTGGAGATACTAGGGGGCAATCAGGATATTTCTTCATTAAGGAGAAATATTTTTACATATTACATATTTACAGGTAGTAGTTGGTCCTGACATCACTCTATCTGAGGGCACAGTGATCTCCCTGCACCCACCAGATGAGGAGGAAGAGGATGAAGACCAGTTCAGTGATGATTCTGGTGTGAACAAGGAGGAGAGCAAAGTGAAACTGAAAGGTATGAGAGTCTCTGGCTCCATGAGCTCAGGCTGCACAGAACGCTTTGCCCTCCGTGATCTTTCCCTCCCCCGTTCTAGGCTCTGTAATACCAGGCTGGAGGTGAGTGCTGCGTTCAGCTTGGAACATGGGTGTTTTCAGTAGGGCAAGCCAGGGTATATCTGACTCAGGTTGGACAGTGAGGTATAGCTCAGTACCCTAGGATTAAAATTTGCAGAGGCTGAGCTGTTTTCCATTTTCCTTAGAGGAGGAGCCTTGTAGGAGATGATAAGCTGACGCTGGAAGAGATGTCCAGCTCAAGGCAGGATGCAAGATTATGTCCTTGTACCTGGACTGCGTCCAAGGACTTTGTTCTTGTCCAATATTGCTTCTTTCGGTCTGGGTTTGTCAAGGGATCTAAACGTGGTCAGGTGGGTTTTGCTGCTGTAGAGGGGAGCAAGTAAGCCACTTGTTGAGGCAAGGGGGAAGATGAAAGCTGAAATCCATGTGCATCTGCAGGAAGCCCCCCCTGATGAAGAGTATTCAGGGACAGTAGCATGCAGGTTATAGCAGTCTATTTCAGGTTTGCCTGTAAGCAGATCCAGTACATCCATTTCTGTCTAATCAGTATGTCTTTTTCAGGTTACAACCAAAGGGATGTGGGTTCAGAGGGCAGAGGCTATCTCTGGAAAGCAGATGACAAGAATGAAGAGGATGAAGAAGAGCAGAGACAGAGCCTGTGGGGTGAGGAAAAGTTCAGTGCAATCACCCGGGGATGGACTGACGTAGACCTTCTGTGTCAGTGGGACTTGCTGAGTGCGACGCTGGTAACTGTGTCTAGAATAAGAAGGCACAATGTGGTTTATGAGATGAAGAAAAGCTTTTCAACAAGTGCAGGATAAACTCCAGTTATTGGGAGATAGAAGTCCCTGGCATAGAAAACTCTGGAGAAGGAATGGATTCATAACTAAATGAGCAGGTTAGCGGTTGCTCCTGTTCTAGGCGGTTTGGACACAAAGCCTAAATTTAGGAAGGGGCAAGAGGTGATAAGCTGCAGTACAACTCTGAGCTTTGTGCACGCTGAAAGCCTGATGGGCGCCCAAGTGAGAGAGTTTCCAGGGGCTGAACTAAAAATACTGTCTGGGCTCTATGAAGCAGGCTGGCCTCCAGATTACATACTTGTATGTGGGAGTGAGGTCAGAAGAGACAGGTTACTTCTGGAAGGCAGGAGTTGGACCATATTCTCTCTTCCTGTGCTTTATGAAAGATGGTTATTTTATCTTTGACTTGCACTAACACATGTAGCCATCCGTGCTATGAAATGCACGTTACGGGCTGCTAGGCCCTCCCTTGGAGGAGGTGGTTTTTGGCTGTTCCGGCTACTGCTGGTTTTCTTCTGCTAGTGACTGATTATGCTAACATTGCTCCATCACGAGTCAGCAGTCAGGGCAACATGCATGTGCTTCTGTCCCTGCCCTTTGCTATCTGTCTGCAGATTCTTTAAAAAGTCCTGTTATTCTAGTGCCAGCTGTAGCGTTCCCTCTGCAGCAATTCTAACCATCTGGACCTGTAACAAGATGCTCCATTGCAAGGACAGAGAGTTGCTGACTTGGTTAGGAAGCCCCTGGGACACCTGGTTCCCCACCCCTACAAGAGCTGCAGCTTTTGAATGCTGCATGCTTCATCTTCTGCTCTTTATCAGGCCCAGCCCTGCATTCAGAGGAAGAGAGCGAGTCGGACAGTGACCTGAGCTTGGGCTCTGAGGAGCCAGATAGTCGGGCTGTGTCCCCTCAGCTGGATGACGTTAAAGGTGAGAGATGGGGCTATGGAGAAGGAATGGTGAGTCTACAGGCAATTGGGAATGAGATCTGTGCTGCTATAGCTAGGTGTATTGGAAGGGCAGCGGACTGCTATAATGCATTTGCCTCTCAGCCTCACTTCCTAGCCTTTTCTACCATGTTCTTCAATATTCCTTATATTGCTATTGTATGTTAACCCAAGGTAGCCAAGGGTGAGCAGCTAGAAAAAGGTGCTCCATCCTTCTCACTCATGATCACAGGGTCTTCGTGAAAGCGACCTCCCTTAGTTTTCTCTTTAAGTGGCAGCGTCGCTGCTTAAACTCCCAAGGGGTTGCATAAAGGCCCAGCAGAGCTTCCTTGTGTGGACAGCTTTCCTGCTATAATTGTATGGGAGAACTGAATTTCCTTGTAGGAGCTGCCTATCCTGAGAAGTATGTTTTTGTATTGTGTTTTGCTCTGTTAAGTTTACATGGATTTGAAAAGGGTTGAAGCTAAACTGGAAAAAAGGGAGAAAATAAAGGGGAAAAGAAAAGCCTTTTCACGCTAAACTATCTCTCCAAAGGAAATTAAACCAATAAACTGTGGGTTTAATTTATACCTTTGGTTAAGGGAAGATGAGGCTTGTCTGAGTAGGAAAGGCTAGACTGTGAAAGTATAATAGAAGCACTACTCTAAAAGGTTGCAGAGTGGATGAAACAATCTCTAGTAGGTCTTTTCTTTTACCTATAAATACCAGTATAACTCAGGTATCGTTGAAGGGGGTTTGTGGTAGCTTATAGAAAGCAAACACAGACCTGTGTCAAATGCTTTCTTTAAGGATGTAGTTTCTTCAGTACTTGAAAAGAGTTTGAAGAATCAATGCTTTTCCATCTCCTCTCTAACTACCTATCCTTTCTTTCATTAGTTTTCCAGAATGAGGTTCTAGGTACGTTACAGAGGGGTGAAGAAGAAAACATTTCCTGTGACAACCTGGTCCTGGAAATCAACTCTCTCAAGTGAGTGTTCACCAGTGGATGCTCTCCCTGATTCTGAAGGGTTGGATTTGACAGCAGGTCTAGAAAGAAGAAGAGAAACCACATGAATAGCCATGTCTGATTGTTGCGCATTATTTTTGCCAGTAGTGATGCATTAGAAATGCAGATGAGAGATCATGACTGAATGATGACAGAAGTTGATGGAGAGAGTCAGCTACATCTATAGCCTCCTCAGTCATTAAGCTTTTCCAGCCCAGTTTCCGGAACAAGAGATTCAATTGCTACTGAGTAACTGTGAACTGAAGAGAGCAAGCATGTGCTTGGCACAAGCTGCATATAAGTTCATGCAGGAGCCACTGCTCTGTGCACTGCAACGTTCAGCCAGCTGCCTGCAGCTGTGACTGTGCTGTGGCTTGTCCACTCTGTTTACACAGCAGCAAGCCTAGAACATGTAACGCTTTTACCTAGTATTTCTCAAATATGAACCTGTTTCCCTTCTTTTACGCAACAATCTTCATGCAGCACTCTAGCGAATGTGAGGGTGCTGTCCCTGCAGCAGCTTGTTCCAATGTGATAGCAGATTTTCAGGACTGGTCTTTCACAAGGCCTGTTGCAATGCAAGGTGTTTTAATTGCATGGATGTTTTGGAAAAAAGTCTGGAAAATGCAAATCAAATCGTTTGTTGCATCTCTGGAAGGAATAGTAGTTTGCAGAGATCAGGCAGGTGAGATATGTATTGTTTCTGACTTTTTTTTTTTTTTTCTTTGCAGGTACGCCTATAATATTGGCCTGAAGGAGATGATGCAAGTGCTTAGTAAAGTGATCCTGGAGTTCCCATTGCAGCAGCTGGATGCAAATTTGGACTCTCAGAACTATTTCTCAGCATTACTTCCTGTGAGTGCTCCTCCATTTAACTCTTCTTGGGGTTTGTCTCCTTGTGTGTAGGAGTTGGTTTGGATTCCCCAGATACTTCCTGGCTGGGGAATCTTTTTTGCTTAGGCCTGAAGCCACTTGAGGCTCACTAGTTCATGAACCTCTTTGTCATCTATGGAACTAAAAGTAAACTGAAACTATTGTATCTGCTTGACAGAACTTAGCTGAGATTGTAGGTATGGGAAGTCTTATTTCAGTAGCTTATGGTTATTTTAGTCTCCTGTGTGTGACAGTAGAAGTGTAACCTCTAAAAGAGATCAGAGAGAGACTGTTAGAGGTGTCTTTACAGGCTTGCATTCCAGGAACCCGATTCCAAACCATCATGAGTCCGATCCCTGGGGCAGCAGGGAGTGCTCCTCTCCCAGTGGGATCCTTTCCAAGGTATTACTTGTCTGCATATTATAACTGGTGCCAATTGTTTCCAGCCAATTGCAGAGGCAGGATCTTGCTGTCTTTTGAGTGAAGATTCAGAATTCTGTTGCATCTCTAGAGAGACTGCGGTATAACTGGGTGAGACTGGTTTCTGTTTCCTGACTTAAGGGAGACAAATCAGGATAGGGTTTGCCTAAAAAGCAGGCAGTCTCATCTTAATGGCTTTGTTGACCCAGGTAAAAGGCAATGTAATGACTCTGCCTCCTTGCCCATTTGTGCGTTTGAGTTTGCAAACTCCACAGCTTACAAAGGTGCTTTATCAGAATGAATGGGTCTGACACCTGTTTGGGAAAGACTAATTTAAATTCCTTAGGAGACATAGCTGAAAGTAGGACCACTAGACATCTGCATCCTCCTTTCTGTGAGGAACTATGTGCTTTCAATTGGTGGGAGTGGTGGAAAACTGACTCTTCTTTATGTAGGTGTAAGCATGGCACTTAATTCATATCCTGGATGTGTGGAGATGCCTTTAGTAGGAAACTATAGCAGTAAACTGTTCTGCTCATCAACTGTCCTAATGAGATTTTGCTATCCACTCCATTTATATTCTGCTTACTTTAGTTCCTGTCTTTAGTGTCCGTCTTCTTGAATAAGATGTACTGTCCTGGAAAAAGAGTTGAAGGAGGAGGACCCAGGAGAATCTTAAAGCAGATAATAGACTCTAAGTGGAAAGCCCTACATCTAGACAGCAGGTGGTGTGAAGGCGGTAGCTGTGTAGGATGTTTTCATTCCGGCTGAGATAAGTCTCCTAGATTGGGCTCCTAATCTACCTTGAGTATGACAGGAGAACTTCACTGTGGCATTCAGGCAGAGGAGGTTCTGATGTGGAATAAGGGTTACTGTATGAATGCTTAGTGTTAAGTGTCCTTGCCTTCCCCCCCCCCCCCAAAAAAAAAACCTTTGAAGCTAAACACAATGGAAAATGCATGAAGGGCTTACATCTGGATAACTTTGTCCATATATATTTCATCATAAGAAAGTTGGTGCTTAAAAGGGAGGTATGTGTAGCATGTGCATTTATGAAACACAAATTATCCTCAGATTTATCAGAGGAATCAACTGTCAAAGCAATTGACCAACATGGCAGCCAGCTTCTCCAAATGCTCCTTTGTAAAGAACAGCCAGCAAGTTTCTTAGAATATCCTTCTCTAGGAGAATTTTATGCTTCAGTGTCTTTACTGCATGCAAAATTGTTTGTGCTGGGTTCCCTGTACTGAGATCAGCTGGAAGGCAGTATCCTGTTGAAGGAGAGTGTCAATGTTCAGTTGCAAACACTATGTCATTCACCATTATAAAAACCCAGCGTCTTTGAGTTGAGACATCCCTCTACTATAGGCAGTGAATCAGCCTTCTAAGACTTATTAAACAGACATTAAGAGTCTTCCTGTGCAGCACCTTGTGTGTGTTTATCAACTGTACTCTGAGGAGTAGAGACTAGTTCTTTGGGCTGAGCATGTATGTTTGTACAGCATCTGAAATGGTGGATTCTCTACAGTAAACAACTTGGGGTTGCCTAGTTGGTCAAAATACGTTCCTTTAAGTTACAAGTGCTTACTTACACCCTGAGAACCCCGTGCACTAGCTTTGTATGGGTTAGTGCAGAACGAAAGCGTGTGCAATATGTAGCTAACGTGGCCTCACTCGATAGTTGTATTAGACTTGAGATCTGCTTATATTGGTTTTTGCAGGGCAAAGCGTTAGTTTGTATGAGATGGAAATGCTTACGTTCTGAGAGTGGTGAATACCAGAAGCCTGATGAACTTTACAGAACTGTTTCACGTTTCTTATTCTGTCTTCGTAGCTCAACCCTGGCTAAGGGATGCTAAAGGAAGATGGATTGTTTGTGTAAGAGCGGTGGTAGAGCCATCTCAGACAGCTCAGGAGGGGAAATTGTGGAAATGCCATAGTTATGATGTATGGTTTGACTTGAAACCACAGTGTGTGCTCTGAAGTGCTGGCCCCTGAGTATGAAGCTCATAAGTTTGGCAGCAGTTTTAGGAAAAGAGCATCTGGTAAAGAATATGTCTGTGGGTATTTTTCAGATGAAACATGAAGGCTTGAGAAACAGTGTTATCCAATGTGATGTCTGTGAGGCATCTTGTTTGGCCCTTGAACAAGCTGTAAAGCAAAGATGGTACAGAAAACCTCATCTTTTCCTGAACCGTAGGCATGGTTTAAGTGAACGTGACTGTAAGACCCTGTCAAACTGAAGGTTGTTCTTCTGTTGTCACTGAAGCAGCATCAAACAAGGTTATGTAGATGAGGATGTCTGAAAGGAACTGGGGGAGGCAATTTAGCAGTTCTGCTTGCTCAGTCAGCCAGAGCCCGTACTGCAGCCCAGCAGGTAGCATATGTGGTGCACCTCCTTTGGTTTCTGTTAGGAGCCTTACTCTTGCATAAGGCAATGCAAGTGAACACAAGGTGGGATCACTCGTTTAGGTGATCAGAGATCTCTGCTTTCACTGAACCAATTTATGGTAGTCAGCACAAATGCTGTGTTATAGTGTAACAGGTTAGAATTATAAGTTTGTCCCTTGTGCTTTGCACGTATTTCGTGATGGTGTCCTGTGCTGGAGGAGGGGATAAAAGAGGCCCAGTGCTGAGACTGTCCTTCTGACAAAAGAAAAAATAGACCAAACGTCTTTGAAGGTGAAGTTGCACCAGACCTGGTCAGCGATGTATCAAAATGAATCAAAACATAGGAACTTACTGTTGCCTTCTCTAGACCATAGGTTGTTTGGGGGAGTTGTCCAGCTATAGTCAGAAACTTGAAAGTAATGATTTTGTCCATGGGTCCCTTGGTCACGTGTCCCTTCGTTTTGCAGTCCATTGTCCATCTGAAGTAATTGCAAGCCTCTGTCTCCCCAGTTCGGGCTTTCATGCTCACAAGTTCTTACAGGCTCACAAGTTCTGTGGGGCTGAGCCCTTCTTCCCCCATTAGCGCCAGTTGGTACAGTGCATGTTCTGGACTTGAAATGGTGCATTTTTTTCTGTCCCTTTCCTGGGGTTGTGAGTGTTTATAGCTGTGCTTTCTTTATAACTTTACTTACTTTTAAAAACTCCATAACTTATAATTCTATTAGAATTGTATCTGCTTATGATTTTAAAATGTTACCAGAAAGGTATTGCAAAATATTTCTTGGCCTGAAAGGAACTTGCTGGGTCTTCTGCATTTGAAGTGAAGAACTCTGAAGGAGAATAAAATGCAGGAGATGGTAGTAGAGGAGGGAAGAGTGCTCAGGATTAAGCATTTTGCTAGAGGTTAAAATACTTCTTGGAAATATACTCTGCAGCCCTCAGCTTTTTTTGTTATGATACCGCAATGATTAGGAGCATTTTATGCTGTTACGGTTGTTCTATGAGCCAGATGATGTACTGCACAGATCATTCTGTTAGCATTAATCCCCTTCTTTGTTCCTGCTCGAGGCAGGTAGATTCCAGCATGGCTGCGATAATAGCAAATGTGTAATAGCACTTGATGAAGTGATTGTAGCACTATGGAGCCATTCAGCAATATTTCCCACTATGGGCTACCTTGATAGTACGCACTAGCTTGGGTACTAGCTCTGTTATTTGTCAATGGAACTGCCCTGCTAGCTCTCAACAGTTGTCCAAAGCAGAGTAACGCTGATTAACCCAGAATATAGGTGACCCAGGGCTTCTTCCTCACACCCGAAATCCCTGAGAACTGCCTATTTCCTTTCAAAACAGACTAGATCAGTGTGTTCTGTAGGGAGACGCTGTGCTGAGGGCATAGCAAGACAGCATATTGGTATGAGCATGTCAAGGATGTAGTTACAGGGTGCGTGCTGTTGAATTAACCTATTCCAAAAGAAGTGGAACTTTGACCTGATTTCCTACAATATTTTCATGGGATAGTCTGGTCATAGTGTGAAAAAACAGAAATGTCTGTGCCCTGTCCTCCTAATTCTGAGGCCTTTAAAACTAAAACTTCTATAGACATGGCTATAATAAGTATCCTTATTGCCTCCTATCCCAGGTCCTGGTCAGTCTGTGCTGCTTTGCAGAGCTTTCACTGCTGCCTGCTTTTCAGATGTGTGCAACAACTGAAAGAGCTGTGGGGGACTCGGCCAGAAATCATTAAGCTTCATCAAAAATAAGCCTTGGAGGAAAGAACTGAGCTAATAGTTAACAGCTTCTTGCCCTTCGCCTTTTCTGCCTAGTCTCTGCAGCAGACTCCAGGATCCAAACAAGCCTGTAGACACACAGCAAATGTATGGCTTGACTGTGGGTGTTTTGCCCATTATGTTCATGTTTAGCTGTCTTGCGCTGTCCACTTTTACTCAGGTGGTAATCAGTTATGCTGGCACTATCTTTTTCTCTTTTTTTTTTCTCATTTGTTCTGCTGCTTTGAAGGAAAGTTCCACTGAAATGTCAACTGCTCTGTGAGATGAATGCTGGAGTTGCATGTATGCACCTCTCCTTCTCAGTCTGCTGTGAAGTGATTTTCTTTGAGTACCAGACTCCATTAGACGTTTATTATGGCAACCTACTATTCCATCGAGATAATTGAAATCAAGACAGTTAACTGACACTCTCAAATCTGCGTAGTAATACCAGGTCACATCTGCACACGTGAGGCTTAATACTATCTGTTTGGTGGACGGTGGGGGGCAAACATACTAAGTGGTCAGATGAAGCCCTTCTTAAAATGCCTCCCTGGCTCAGTTTTAGTGCAGCCTAGCTGAGAAACTAGGCTGAATGCACGCATCCACATCCTGGCTCGGAAACTTTTATTCTGTGCTTTCTTTCTGCAGCTGTTGAAGAACTGGACCCCGTTGTTCAAGAACTACATAAAACGGGCGTCTGATCACTTGAATGCCTTATTTGCCATTGAAGAATTCTTCCTGGAACACGACAGCCTCTGCACGTCGATAGCTAAAGTGAGTTTCTGCTCCCAGCTCTGAGGATCTGTTTTCACTAGATCCGTGATGAAATGCATCCTGTTTGCTTCATCAGCTTGTCTACTTTAGAGGAGAGAAATTTGGGGCCTCGGAGGAGAGGGTGTATGGAAAATCCATCTATAACAATTGGTTTTTAAAAGGTGGTCTGTGACTGCCTGTGTCTCTGAGTGAGGGTGAGCTGAGGGTGAGTATTAATTACCAGTAGGCAGCCTGGAGGGAGCTATTATTTTGCAGCTTTTAACCTAGATGCCCTTGCTGTGTGGTGCTGGAAGAGATGTGAGGCCAGGGGCTTGCTTTAGGGAGAGCTTTACTTCCTTTGTCTGCCCGTGGTTCGTGAGATCTAACTGCCAAATAATTTACCCTACTTCATGGTGCAAAGCTGGGAGTAAGGGCAAGACTTCCTCTTTAGGCTGAGCGAGTTGCGAAACTGGGAATAAAGGGGAGATGAGATGTCGCTTAATACCCATCTTTCTTCTTATCGGTGTTTTCAGTGTATTTCCCCTCCTACCTTCCTCTTTACAAGTTCTTCATTCCTGGATTCTTTCTGCCCTATCGCACTAGGAACGTTTGACTCGGATCTCAAGTGTTTCCCTTAGCGATGTCTCAGGAAGCCTCTATTTTTTTGGAAGAGTTCTCCTAGAATCATGCTTAACCCTCAGTTCCTCAAGAAAGAGGAACCATGACTTGTGCTACCAGTGCTTCTGGCTAATGGCAGAGCACTTAGCATGGACTGGAGCCAAGTCTTCAGCTTGATGAGCCAAAATGTCCTTGAATTACAGCAATTGTTTGGCATGTATCCATTGTTCTAGGGGCCTGGGTTTCCCTGGAGGCTGGGAATTGAAGTGACACTTTATATCTGGAGCTGGCAGCCAGCTTTGTCGGTACTCTGCCGCAAGGGGTACGAGTGCAGGGTGCCTGCTTGGCTGGAGCACAAAGGCACCCTGAGGAAAGCATGATTGCATCTTATCCTTGCTGCACTGGGCAGGATTTTGAGCTGATGAATGACCAATTGCTTTGACACCTGCCATAAGGCACCGTTAAGGGAGGATTGACAGGAGGAGGGAGCCTGGGGCAGGGCTGGCTTGATTCATGCTGGCTTGATTCATACTCTTCTCTATATATGCTACAGTTGCATGTATCTGGGCCTGCATAAGAGTTTCTTGTGATATCTGCTTTGGGGATGGGTTTTGGGGTGCTTTAAAATGAGAAATCAAGTTACTTGTTAAACTGATGTCCTCTATGGGTCTTTTGCCCAGAGCTCTTGATCACACCCTGCATCCCCAGAGCAGAAGCTGATGAGTCTTGAGCTTAGACTCACATGTCATAGCATCTAACTATCAGAAGCATAAGGCTTGGTAGGGGAAGCACAGTTATTTTTAACAATAAATGTAAAATGAAACAGACTGAGCCCCTTTTGAAAATAGAGTTGGGAGCGACAGACTTGCATGCAAACCTTGTGCTTGGACGTAAGCTAATCCTGAGAGAGTAGATAGAGAGCCCTGTTGCTCTTTTCTAATTGTTGCAGGTGTTGATGACGTTTTACCAGCTGGAAATCCTGGAAGAAGATGTAATTCTCAATTGGTTCTCTCTGCGGGACACGTCCGATAAGGGAAAGCAGCTTCGTAAGAACCAGCGGGTAAGACCCAAAGGCGTAAAAATGATACGCTAGCTGGTGAAAGAAGCTTCAACTGGCGTTCAGTGCCACTGTCCCTTTCTGTGAAGCAGCTGCCATTACATGGTAGGCCAGTAATGCACCAGTTCATTGAACACAACTTTTTTTCCTCCAGACAGATGTGTCTGTGAGTTTTGCCATAATCAGCCTGCATTGTCTGAATGAGGAATGGAGGTAGTAGGAGAGAGGGATGGTTTTTAGTGGGGTCTCTGTAGTATGAGGCCAGCACTTCCTGGCGTAACAGCACAGCTTCTCTAAGCCAACACCCATTTGAAATGGGCTTTAGGCCAATGCCCAATGTGCTGGCCCCATGCAATTCCTTTGAAGTTTTCGTTCCTGGCTCACCAGTCTCTTTGCATATATTGCTAAGCGTTTACAGTACAGAGTAGTTTCATTTGGCTTATGTTGCAAGGAGCATATAAACTTCCCTTCTCCATCAGGCAGAACTTTGTGCTAAAATTTGGCTGAGCCCTGATCCAGTTCTCCTCCCTGGATTTGGAAGAGGAGGAGGGGGGGAAAAAAGTCATCTCTGAAGAAGTCCAACTTTGTTTAAAACCTGTTCAAAGTCAACTCTTCGTATAGGTCAGCAGTGCTTTCAGCTGCTTATTTAAGCCAGGTTAAAAGGTAAAATGAGCTGCCTTCTCCATGGAAATCTGTCAGGGAGTAGATTTTTTTCCCAGCAGCAGCTTTCCTAACATGCCTTAGCTAAGGTGCTGCTGTCATCTCTCCTCCCTCGAGGTCTGGCAAGAACAACTCTCTGACTTGTGTCTTCTCACTGAGTGCTTTGGGGACTGTCTGACTGAAGGAATCTCCTTCAGGAATCCAGAGAGCCTGGATGTCTCCCCCCCTCTCTCTCTCGCTCACACACTGTCTCTCTCTCTCTCTCTCGCTCACACACTGTCTCTCTCTCTCGGCAAGAACAACTCTCTGACTTGTGTCTTCTCACTGAGTGCTTTGGGGACTGTCTGACTGAAGGAATCTCCCTCTCTCTTTCTCACACCCTCGCTGTCTCCCTCTCTCTCTCTCTCGCTCACACACTGTCTCTCTCTCTCGCTCACACACTGTCTCTCTCTCTCGCTCACTCTCTCTCAATCTGCATGTTTTCATGTCTCCTAGAAACACCCTTCCTTCCTTCTTGTGTGTGATGGTGGTGCTCACTGATGCAGTGTAGCTATTGAGCATTCCAAGCATCTGTTTGGTGTCACTTGTTACCCAATTACATTTTATTCTCTATGCAGCTCCAGAAGTTTATCCAGTGGCTGGAGGAGGCAGAGGAAGAGTCGTCTGACGGCGACCAAGACTGACATGGTGGCTTGGCATGAAAAGAGGCACTCTCGTTGCCTTTCTGGGCCGAGTGGGCAGGGCAAGATCAATGCCAGTGCATGGTGTGTAGATATGGGGCCTGACATCAGTGACTGACAATCCCATTGTTAATTATGTTGTGCATTCCCAACTGTGCCCCTTCCTCCCTCCCTCGCTTGCCCGGTGGCATCTTACATTGGATGGTTGCAGCACAGTGTAAAAACCATAAGGGACGAGCAGGAGGCGATGATATCTAGAATTGCTCTGGAGCCTGGGGCTGCTATACCATAATCTATTTCTTGAGAGCCCCTTGCTTCTACTATAGAGGGAGCAGAGGCAAACATGTACAGACCCCTTCTAAATCTTACCTTTGGGGCTTGTGGAAATATGGTCATAAGGCTAAGTTATTTGGAGTCACTGTTGTTTCTGGAACTAAGAGAACTCCTGCTGAAGAGACACTGGCAAGGTTGGTAAGTAGGAGCATATGGATTAGGATCCGGAGTGCAGGACTGGGATTCAGGAGTTCCTGTGCCTGGAGAAGATGCCGTTGTCTGAGGATGCCTAAGGCATTTTGCAGCCTGGAAGGCACTTCTGTGATCTTTCCAAAAGGGAGAATCTCTTGCCATCTGCTGTGCTAGGATTTAACACAAGATTGCACAGTAGAGTTGGTAAAACCACATCTTTCCCCCTTCAGCAGAACAGGGGATAATATGTGCTCAGCTCCCCCACTGGCAGGGATCGGTTAATAAGGGATGTGCACTGGTCAGTGAAAAGCCGTATGGTTCACTACATCCTAGATGTGATTTGTCTTCTGTGCGTCTCCAGCTTAGCAGACACGGTGTTTTAGAAAAGTGTCTGGTTTTTTATTTATTTATTTTTTTAAGGGAGCAGAGATGCCTGGCTCCTCCTGCCACACCAGCATCATTTGTGTTTTGCTCTGGGGCCCTGACCACACCAGCTGCTTTAAGGAAAACGCAAGTTCCTAAATTCTGCTCTAGTCTGAAAAGGAGTGAACGGTATTTCCTTTGGTAGCACATCTTTGTGTTTCCACGAGTTCAGTTATACATGCTTGCTTACTCAAACTGTGCGTCCTTTTTACTTATTTGAAAACTTGCCCCCCTTCAGGTGGCAGGGAAAGTGCTGCAAGCCCGGTGTAAAGGTCAGCGGCCGCAGAGTAACTCGGCATGAAGCGGGAAACAAGTGTGCCTCTGGCGCTCTCTTGCCGGCATGGACAATGTGTGGTTGCAATAAGGCGCTTAGGAACAGCTGCCTTAGAAGTGTCACTGTGCTGTGTTCTTCCCTGTTCTCATCAAGAACAGTGGGAAAAAATACACAGCGAGAATCAGCTTTTATTGATAGGGGGTTGTATGTTGAATGTGCTGACCTTGCCTCTGCCCCTTCAGAAGGAGCATAGAATAAATCCCTTGGGGGAAATGCACTGGAGCTGCCCACTCAGGATATTTACTTGGCCGTTCCGTGGTGCCACAGTTGTCAGTGAGGGGACAATGTTGGATGCTGGAGGCCAGGGATACTGCCTCTTAAACTGATGTTCAGGCAAGAGCGATCTTGTGCACTCACAGTATCAGTTGCCAGGATTGTTCGTAAATGCGCTTGTTTTCTGACATCGCAAACTCAGTCTTGTAAATGTTGGGGAATTGGTTGGTATCTGAATTTTCTGTATCTGCCAATATTTAATTCAGGGAGCAAATAAAAACTATCCTGGTGTTAGTGGCTTGTCTGCCTTGTTTGAGCTTGAATTGTATGTCTCCAGTTGTGGCATATGCCTGAGCAGGGCTTACGGGTAAGCTAAATAACACATAGCTGCTTTTCTCTTGAGAGATTTCAAGCACGTAATAGGCAGGTAGGAAATCAACACCCCATTGAATTGTCATAAGTGCTCAATGGTAGCTCATGACCTCACCATCTACAAATAGAGAACAATTTGCTGAACTTCAGAATCCTGAAGTGGCTGAGGTTTGTTTTTGTACAGGGTTATGTTACAAAGATGAACCTTAAATCCTATGAAACCTGCTATCCTTTGGCATGATGAGAATTAGTGGGAATGTTGGCTTGTGTGTGCTGCACCATGCCCTCCTGGTGATGGAGAGTAAGAACTGGTGGAGAGGGGGAAGGGCAGCTGCAAAGCTCTTTTAAAAATTCCTGAGTCTCACAGCTGGTTTATAAATGCTTTTAAAATCTCCCCAGACATCTTAGGTATTTTTTTGCTTTTACAATATAAAGCTGGTTTAAAAAAAAAATCAGATTAAGCTGTTTAGGAAAAAAAAAAAAGGTTTAAGCTGTAATTCCATAAATGGCTTGTTTTAGTGAGAGGCTCTTGATTCTTTGTGCCAAGTAATAATTCCACTTTTGTGTCTTCCATGTTCCTGACTCCTTTGCTTCATAGTGGCCAACTTGTTCATGATGTGAGCCACTTTCTTACCCAGAGGTTGAGATCAAGGGTCGAATGGTACCCTATAGCCAAAAACCCTTATCCTTCAGGACTTAGCCCCCACCACATACACAATACTATTTTATAGGTGCTGAGACTCCATTAGCGAAAAAGGACTGTTCCAAGTAGAATACTCGATATTCCCCAAGATGGAGTTCTGGCATAGTGCAGCATCCATGTTTTTAAAGGGCGGGTAAGTGTATACCTTTTTAAAGAAGCACTGGTTGCTTAAGCGTAGGGTGGGCTTGATGCTTTCTGTTGCTTTCGATCAAAAGTTATATTTGGCTGGAACAGCAGAAATGCCTTTGGGAGCAACCTTGACTGTGCAGTCCTTATTATCTGTCTTTTTGAGCGATGTAAGTAGATTCATTCTTTGCAGTTTTTTGTTTTGTTTTGTTTTTCCCCCCTAAGGCCAAGAACTGTCAGAGTAGTCACCTTGTCTGACATCCCATCTAACAGGGATGGATGGATTTCACCTGGTGGTTCCTGTAGCAAGCCCATAACTTCAGCTGAACAATAGTGTGTCTTTATTTAAAAAAAAAAAAAAAAACCATTGCTTAAAGGTAAAAGGGATGGAAGTCAAGTACGTCCATCTCTGCATCAGGCTGTTCTGAGCAAGTTTCCAGGCATTAAAATGCCTGGAGCCCATTTACGCTGTAAGGAGAAGCAGTGCTTATCAGTGCTGTGACTTTCAAATGTAGATATAAGCCAACAGGCTGTTGAGAAACTGTTCCTTGTGGACCTAGACTTCTCAGCCTGGTCCCCTACTGCTAATTTCTCTGGCGCTGTGTTCTTTACCTCCATTCATTAAGAGTGAGTCATACTTCACAAGACTTCTGCAAGCAGTTAAATCAATCTATCAGCTGAGTGTATTCAATCACTTGGCCTGTTTAAAAGAAAAAGGGCAGCTGTAATAATGCCCTTGTTACCGATGCAAGTGTGGGATTTGGTCTCCTACAGCTCTATGGGTGTGTGGCACCCCTCCTTTTACCTTGTGGCTGTATGTGGTCCCTTGTGAGCTCAACGCTTCAGAAAATTGTCCTTTTGGCAACAGAGATGTCTAACGTATCTGACAGAGGCTCTGGGGCGCAGCCGCAACTGTGCTCAGGAGCTGCAAAAGGGGACAAGAGAGCAGCCCTGGTGCTTAGCAAGGGAAAAGTGCTAGTATTTCACATGGGCCTAGCTTTTGTGACAGGGAGGTGTTGCAAAAGGACCTTTACATTAGTTCTCTGTCAAGTCCCAGGGCACTGGCCTGCAAGCTAGCCTTGCAGCAACTACCTAGGTATCTAGACAGGGTGAGCAGGGCCTCCTGCAGCAAATTCCCTTTACTCTGGCAAACAGCATCCCAGTTAGAGAAGCAGTGGTTCTGCTGTGGCCCTGAATATTAGGTTAAGGACCCCCTAAACCTTGGAGGACAGCTATAGAAATTGACATAGCAAGAGACAGGTTAAATTAAATCCTTCCATTCCTGACCTGGATTCTTCTTTCCAAGTACACCATTTTTTTTTTTTTACTATGGAGCTCTGAGCATGAGAAAGTGACACTCTTCCAAGAGCCAGTGTGGAAATATGAGCGGTCCTCAAGCCTGTTAGAATTTCTGCTTACCTGAGGTCTTTTCTTGATACTTTTTTTTAATGTCAGATTCTTGACCCCATCCACCACTGCTACCCAGATGATTGCTGGCAACACCTACAGGGCTCTTTCATGCATGAGGCGGCTCACACCTGCCTGCCATGGAGGTTGGCCTTGCTCCCTGTAAGCTCTCTCTGCCCTTCCTCTTACCCCAGGTGAGTCTGGCTCCAAGGGCTGCTGGTGGGGGCCTACAGGTGGTTCTTCCTCTGCCTTTGCTGTTCCTGCCAAACCAGGTCAGTGTGAGGCTGTTCCTGCCCTGCCTGGTGGCGAGCGTTTCCCAAGCTCCTTCCAGCCCCGGCTTTGCTCCCAGCTGCAGCTCCAGGAAACCGCTGCTGGAGACCTGTCCCTCAGTGCCCTGTGGGATGCTGGTGGGGTGTCCAGAGGGGAAGCCAGCTAGCCAGCCCAAGATTGCTGGGGTGCAAGTCCTTGGCGTTAGGCTCACAGGCCTTGATGACTGCGGGTAGGAGAGCACTAGGGTTTGGGGAGCAGTGTGTGCCATGAGAGAGACGATGGCAAGAAACCCATGGAGCCAAGGGGCTTTCAGAGCAGATATTGCACGGTCAAAGAGGCTGCGCTATGTGGAAAAGAGGATGCTTGCGAAGAGCAGAGTAGGGAGAGACGTGATGGCGCTGGGAGAGCTGCCTCGTGAGGGAACTGAGGCTGGGGAAACTTGAAGGGGCACTGCAGTGCCTGATGTCTGAGGATCAGGGAAGGGCACGGCGCAGCGATAAGGGGCAGGGGAAGTAGCGGGATCCTCCTGTGCCCTGTACGCCGTAAGCGGGCGTCCAGGGCTCG